GGTAGTTAGTTTCTTTCTGTTGTTCCAAAGTAATTATCGTTATTTTTATGAAAAAAAAAAAGATTTCGGGCTGAAGCCCCCCCCCCAAAAATTAAATCCTGGATCCGCTAGTGCGCAAGACCAAGAGTGAGCTTGCAAAACCAAGACTCGTCTCGGTCTCGCATTTGGGCAGCACTAACTATTAGTTATCAAGCTGTTATTTTCCATTATAAAGTTTACTAAAACAAAATTACGAGATTTTCATTGTCTGCCATGGATAGGTCAAAAGTTGTTTCACTACTTGTAAGTGGATAATGTTCAGATTTCACAAAGGGAAAATTCATCAAATTATTTCCTTATTTAATTTTCTAAAAGGTTACTTGATGATTTTTTGGAAAAAACGGCCGATAGATACCTAATTATTTTTTTATTTATATATTTAGTTTTATTCATTGATATTTACAACTGTTTTATAAAAAAAAACACAACTAGTAAATGTGCACTCAGGAATATAATAACATGAAATCTCTTGTTGAGAAACTACCCACTGATAGCACTCAAATATAGTTATTTAAATATAATATCTTATCTAGAGTGAATACTCTATAGTAAATATATTTGAGGTTATAAACATATCCATGAAATATTTTTATATTTCACTTCTTCTTTTACTCAAGTACAATGAAATAGTATTTTAAACAATGGCATTGGCTTGATTCGGTGGATTTTAAATACTTTAAATCAATCTTAGAAAAGCATTTAAAAGTTTACATAGAGTAAGAAAAATTAATGTAATTTCCTTGAAAACATGTGATTTACGTTAAATAATATTAGTTTAAAAAAAATGTTATTTATATTTTTTTCGAAGTTCTCCGTTACCTTTTACAATGTTCTATATTAGATATTGTTTTATCTAAAATTCTCCCGCTTTCCAGCGATGTGTTTTAATACCTTCTGACCAGCATTTCCGGGTATTCATTTTCGACCTGGATAAGCATTTTTATTTTTCTCTCCTTTATTCAATTATCAAATTTTTTCAAAAGTTATATTTAGCATTTTTTCGTAATTTTTAATAATGTGAGATGATTAATTATTTAAAATAAACCATATTGAAGGTGCTTTAGAGGAAGACGTATGAACATTGGGTAGTTAAGTCCTTTAAAATGACATCAATGGGGATAAGACCTGATTGTTATTAAAGACCACTTCATTATACAATGACACACCGACTTCAATCAGAATCGTTCGGGCCGGCCATTTTTGAGAAAATCATAAAAACGTGTTTCAGGTTTGATATAAAGTGGCACCACTTCCGGTTAGCCAATTTTAAGAAAAAAGTTGCTGTCACATCTATGGCAATATATACCTATCTTAAATACGTAATATGAGTTTCGTACGACTTTTCGTTTTTGAGGTAGAGTGTTTTTACAGACATACAGACATTATCCACTTACAATTAGTGCGACAAATTTTGACCTATCTATGGTAGGCAATAAGAATTTCGTAATTTTATTTTAGTCAAATTTACAAAATAACAGTATAACTAATACGCGTACAATCGATAATCTTTTATAGGTTAAATATTCAGATGTACTTTCAAATCTCTCTGGGCATATATAAGTCTTTCAGTTGACAGAATGGATAAATTCAATTCTAACATTATTTATTATTAATTTTAGTGATGTTTCTAGTGGCAAAATTTATGCATTTATTCCCAGTTCTATATTCCAACACTGCAATCACCTACACTGGAATAAACTTACCTATGATACGCTAACTTCCACAACTCTCGGAGATAGAGCTTAATCCGGTGTAACCTCACACTGCGGCCCAACTTTCGCTGTACCATTCTATTCCACGTTTCACAGAATCTCACCGAGAGAAGAATCACATCAGCTCACCAAACTGCGTCGCAACTTGCACCCGACCTAAAAATGGACATAATTATTGAAGAAATATACAATATTATAATCCTGTAGTTTGTCAAATGAAGTACTCGATTACTTCTCAGTAAAGTACTCAAAGTAATGCTGAGTAAATGCGGAAATGGAAACTACTCACGAAGACAGCTGAGTACGTTTTTAACTAGTCAATCAAGTATTTTAAAGAATACTGCAAAGGAACCTAGCTTTATTTTTCATAACAAAACTTTACTTGACCTACTTCATTGGAAACGGCTTTTGGTCTTTATTTATTAAGATACTTAATGAATCATTTAATACCATAGTCAATATTTTTTCTTATTTTACACACACAAAAAAAATTCGATTGATACATAATAACCTAAAAATCCGTGCAAACCAAAGCCGAAAATCAATAACATAAATTTTGTATAAAATATTTTTTTCTCAGCTCCTAGGGCACATGGACAAGAGCCCTCGGGCATGTCTAATATCTGTCGACCTAGTATTACAAAAAAAAGTTTCATTGAAATCGGTGACCCCACGTACTTAACCTCCCCTTCTAATTCTAAAGAAAAATAAAGTAAATGAATAAAGTCTATGCCGATTTTTAAAAACTTATCGTATCTGTTAAGTGCATAAATAAGACTAGATGTTTTAAATGAGATTATTGTTGACCACAAGAGCGAAGTAGCCTAATAAATAAGGTACTATACTTTTATATTCTCGGACATAGGTTCGAGTTCGACTGTCAGAAATTATTATCATATCATGGGAGAGAACCTGCCAAACCAATAGGCCTATATGTTTATCTCAGGTTGTGTATAAACTGTATACATCGATTCTTGAGAGGAGATTGGGAGGCTTGGAAAAAAATCAATTGGAAGAACAAACTGTTTAAGGCCATCAAGACAAACCCAAGACCATATCTTTGCTCTAAGGGCAATTATAGAAAAAACGTGAGAGCGTGACAAAAATATGTATTTGGCCTTTTTAAATATAAAACCAGCTTTTGATTCAGTACCTAGGGAAGAAATATGGAATGCACTGAAAATGAACATCCCAGGATATGTTATCCAAGCAATTCAATCGATATATAAAGATTCTAATGGTATAGTAAGGATGAACGGGAAGGAATCAAACAGCTTTAATAAGGACAAAGGGGTCAAACAAGGCGACAGTCTATATATTGTGTTTACGGATGAGATTCTAAAAATCTGTAATCGTAAGAATGGAATAATAATTATAGGAAAATGGAATATGAGAACAATTCTAGCCTAAGGTTCTCGTATATGCAGATGATATCCTCATAACAGACTCAGCAACAAAATTACAGCAAGAAATTGTGGAATGGAAAGCTGAGCTTGAAAGAAAAGGTATTATCATAAATAAAGAATAAAGTAAAATTATGCAAATAGATCGAGAAATCGAAGACGTACAAATAAACTGTAGGGGTAAGAATCTGGAGTTCGTAGAGGAATATACATACCTAGGGACAGTTTTTGGAAGAAAGGGAAAATAGGCCAAGATATATCAAACAGGATCAATAAAGCAAATGGCACCTATTACCAGACCTGCAACACGGTCGTAGAAAACAAGAGGTGGAAAATATAACTAAGATCCATATATACAACACACCACCTTCCAACCTTATTGTACGGTAGTGGGAGGTAGGTCTTTCTAGAGAGGCACAAAAGTATACTTACCGCTACCGAAATAAAATATCTGAGAAGAGTAGCAGGCTGAACTAGAAAAGATTGCATCTGAAACGAATTGATTACAGAAAATGTTAAGGTGCCACCAATGCTGAAAACCGTGGAAAAGAAAACGCTCAAATGACTCGGACATGTTATTAAAATGGACGAGGACAGGGAACCCAGAAAATTGTTGAGGCAAGACCCACAGAAAATAGGCCAAGCGGACGTCCACCGAAAACTTGGATTGACGAAATAACCGAGCTGGGAAAGAAAAGAGGCGAGCAGTCGAGAGATATGAGCAATCTGGCGAGGAACCGTGATGACTGGCGTAAATGTGTCCGCGCATTTTCTTCAATACTACTGGACCGATTTTTTTTCAAAATTGGATTTAAAATCAGAGGTCCCCCGAGGATGGTCCTCCTTCATTGACATTACTATCCGCCTTTTACTATCAAAATGGCCTTTTACTATAGACTGTAGCGCCTTAACGAATGTACCGATTTCAACGAAACTTGGCCTAAGTCTTCTTCTTGATGCCCTTTAACTTTATCTATATAATATAATTCAACGAAAAGAAGCTGGAAATAAAAGTTACGAAGATTGGTAAAATTAGATTCCGAATAACTCAAAAAGTATACACTTTTTTGTGAATATTGTGATATAATGTTTCAAAGCTGTTATTAATTTTTTTAAAAACGGAGAAAGTTTCATCGAAAACAGAGCACTACTAGTAAAAATATGGCGATTTAAAAATATTTGTGGTTTATTATTTTCAATAATGAACCATTGTGACCGAACAAAAAATTCAATAACTTAATCCCTTCTCAAAATTTGAGGTTTTACGTTTCAGGATGCGCAGAATTCGAAAAAAGAATAAAATTTTTTTTGTCCGTCCGCCGTCCGCGCATTTTCTCCACAACTACTGGACCGTTTTTTAAAAGTTTAAGAAGTTTCCTAAAAAACAAAAAACAATCGGACAATTAGGACCAAAGATATGTTCTCTCGATGGTTTTTATGTTCTACTGCAAATCCTTTGTTTTAGATTTTGATTTTTGAATGTGTTACTGAAGTCGTGCTATTTTATTTTTGCAAATTACTTATGTGAAAAAAATGTTTAGGCAATTATTTGGAATTAACTTTTTATTTCTTTTAATTTTTGACTAGAAAGGTATTGTTACTTTAGATGTATAATTGTTGGGAAATAACAAACCATTGTGAAATAATTTGCAGCGTTTTTTTTTTTTTTTTATGAAAAAGGAAAGCGTTCAGCTATAATAAAATAAAATAAGGATATATTTAGAAACTTTACTAAATTATGTTATAATTTTTTACAAAATTTCATTATTAAAGAGAATCGGATTTAAATAAGATTTCAAATATTACGACTCATCTATAAACCTTAGCCATGTGATTGTTGTCAACAATCATATGTTTTTATACCCAATGTTGTCTTTGAAATCAAAATTTAACTTAACTAGTTGCTTACTTGCGTGATTCGTATTTTTACAGAATGGATGCATATATTTTTGCATTCCTGAGAATATAATAAATTAAATTTATTAAAAGATACATAAATGTAACTGTAATAGTTTGTTTAAGAGATTTTATTGATGAAATGAAATATTTTAAAATTGAATAGTGGCAATTTGGAGGGAAACAATAAGATCTTTCAAATCTGTCAAGATTTTTAAACTAATGGTATAAGAGGAGGCTTCTATAAATCAGTAACAGGTATTTTTATAGTTCATGTGATCGAAATTGCTGTTAAATTTTATTTTTAGTTATTTAGAGTTGTTTTGTTGAAACTGTTTATTTGTTGATACATATGGCGTTGAGATAGAACTCAAAGCTTAAAACACAAATCGAAACGTGAGTTTTACTATGGCCTTCTCTGTTGCTCTGTATAATTACTAAATATTCCATACATTTTGAATCAAAATGGTGAAAAGGAAAGTTCAAGTACTATTAGATTCAGACAGTGATAGTGATAGCAGCACATCAGATTTGGATAATGTTTGTATTTCTTTTAATTTCTGGTTAGAATGTGATTTCGTAAGGTTTTCAATAGTATGATAATAAAATATATACGTTTCTAAGGCTTTTTTTAAACATAACCTGTACAATTTTGGTCCATAGGGTTCCTAAATACATTTAAATAGTTTCCTGTTTTTACTGACTTAACCATTTACAAAACATCCAAACTTGATTATTATATTGGATGTTTCTTTTATTACTCCCAACTGTTTTAAATATAATTATTGTATAACATAATTATGACATTTATATATTGTTGGAATTGAAAATTAACCCCATATTTCCTATATAAGCTCATGTTTGTTGCATCATATTGGATATAACATTAAAAAATCTCCATTATTATATGTGAAAATGAAAAGGAAAAGTTTTAATACATTAGTAGGTATTTTAACTTCACTTGGTTACATTCTCATCATAGCTATTTTTCATATTCATTTTCTAATGTTTTGTTTAGTGGGCATTGATGGGTTTTTAAAATATATTTGTTCTAGGTTGAATTTTTAAAAAAATAATTTAAAGATAGATTTTTATTCTTAAACAATTGTTATTTTATAGAGAATGGTTTATAAATTTGATTCATGGTTCTGTACATTTTTTTATTAGTGCTTAATTTGTTATTAATGCCTACTTAATAAATCTTATAGGAGAAACACATAATTAGTTCATTTTCTTATTCGTACATTAGGAACTCCTTTCTTTGGCCAAGAAAAAGAGAAAACCAACTCCAAGTACTGGAGATTCAGATAGCAATACTGCATCTGTAAAGAAATCGGCTCCTTCAAAACCTGCATATACTGATTCGGACACTTCATCAGGTATTTATTACCTACTGTATAAAGGTTATGAAGAAGATTTAAAATTTTAGAAATTATTTAATGGTTTTGGTTTTATAATATTGTTTTTAAGGTTATATTTAAGATATTATTATAATTTAAGTTATCTAATTTATTTATAGTCTGTGTTTAATAAATGGCTGTAGAAAAATGATGTTAACATTTTTTTATCCCAGTCCCTGGTGGTGAGATCCATTGATTTTCACGCAAATTTATGTTATGTAGAAGAATCTGTTCTTTTGACATTTTTCAGCTTTTATCCTTAGCACAAGAATAATTTTTGAAATTATCTTGTTGATTTTATAATACTAAGTCTAAGACACCTTAAGGCTTATTAAGAAAATAGTTTAATTTGTAATTAATCATTATAAATTATAATCAATGGACAATTATTTTGTTTTTATCAACAGTCTTTTGTTAACATAAGAAACTAGTTTGGAAAAAACTGGTACGAACATAAAAATTAAAATATTTTCAACTTTTACTTTGCATAATCACCTTATCAATTATGATTACACAAAATTTGCAATTTCCTTAGTCCTTTATATCGTACATAGCTCCAGTCCCAGAGCTGTATACTTAAAGAAAGATTTGAAATTCCATTTCTTTTGAAACATTGTCGAAATCTATTGCTGATTTTGAAAATGAAGGAAAGAGATATTTCAAATAGCATATTCTAATCAAGAATAACTTAGTAGAATAAGCCTCCACACTGTTGAAGTGTTTGAAGTCATATGTACATTCATGTCATCAGGAGATTGTCAATTTCGAGAGGTATGCTTGACATAATTTATAAATGTTGGTACCCAGTGGATGTAAAATTTGATACTCTACAACTTTTGTTCTATGAATTTTTTCACTTAGAGAATTCATTTTGAAACTTCGACCATATACAGTACCAATAACCTCAGTTTTTGACAAAGTTGTTGAAATTCATACATCTATATTCTTCGGTCAAACCTTAGATTTGTCTTGGAATAATTCTTTCCTACATTCACACTATCTTCTTTTTCTGCTTAGTTAGGAGCCTGAAATTACAATTGGATGAAGAATTATCTTAAAATTATTCAGATTATGATTTAAACTGATACTATCTTTTTTTATTAGATACTATCAAAATTAATTGACTTGTACCGACAACAACCTAAGTGATTGAATAAAAAATTATTATATATTTAGTAGACACTATAGTGTAATATTAGGGTTAACTTAAATCTATATGATTAAACAAAAGCTAAAACTCCCTATAATTACTCTAAGTGGAAAGTTAGTAAGGAAAACTTAACTATAACAGGGGTAGATATAAGAAAATATCGAAAACAAGAAACAAAAATACTAGATTAGTGAAATAACCATTTATATATATGTTTGTCCCATAGTTTTTGAAATATCTAAATGCACCTAAACACTATAGCCAAGGATTGGAAACATTTTTTCATTTGCCCCAACACTCATCTATTATTTTCTTCCCTTTAGTTTAATCCTGATTAAATCAGTTTTGTATATTTTGTTGAAATGATTCGAATGGTGTAATAAGCACATTTTGATTTAATGTCCACAAAGTGTACTCCTCCACATCCTTGTAATTTGTAATCAAGTAACAACCAGGTTACTTTGTTTATTTAATTCCTATTCCTTGTCAAACACTGAAGGTTTTTTTAATTTATATGCAATTAATACACTTGCAATTGGTTATTGAAAATATCTTCACCACAAAACCTGAACTCTCTTCTTTTAATAACATGCATACCCATTCTCGAAGTCTACTAACAACTGACAAAAGTGGAATATGTCTCTTTTCATAATTACAAGAAAAATTAAGGTATAACTACACCTTGCATAATAACTTAACCATAACTTCTTTTTCACTACATAAAAATTGAAAATGTCATTACTTATCTGAGGAAACCAATAGAAAACTAAAGAGAGCATTTCCAGCCCATTCAATCATACTATACTAAAAGATCTTTTAACCTCAAAATACAGAAGTAACACCAGCTATATATTAATAGAGTCACTAAATTATTCTGGTCTAGAGAATATGAATGATTTTTTAAAATAAATAAATAATTTGTTTTGCTTTTGTAAAACAAATATAATCGATCTAAACATTTCTCTGAACTTTATAACTGGGGTAGTGGTAAGTCGGTGGATCGAGACAGAACTAATTGTTTTGAAGATTAAATCTACAACAATTTGAAATTTCCGACAAAACGAAAAAAGAAATTAATGAAATTGGACCATTATTAGCAAAGATAATGTGTATTGAAATTTGTTCATAAATTTAGTTATCATTTTGAATATTAGAGTTATTATTTCAATTGTAAGTAATTTAAAAATAAAATGGTGCAATGTGCATTACTCAACATACATTTATCACCCTAATTTTAATAGAAATAGTATTTTTACTTTCACTTACTTATATTTTATACTATTAGGTATTTTTATATATAGGGCAGTGAAGGTAAAAAGTATAAAATATTAATTAATATTTGTACCATTTTTACTGCTTTCCATTTCCTTTTAAAACTTAATAGATAAAGATAAAAAGGCTTAGTGAACCCGAAGGTTCGATACCGTTCACTGTCCAAATCCAGTTCCACCAGATCAGCCTTAACGCCATCCTCCGATCTTCGCTTGGTTATACTACTCGGATATTTACCATTCTTCACTCTTTTAATTCTTTTGAAACCAAGTCTAACAATTTAAACTGCATACAGTTCACACAATGCGGTTTTTTGTAACTGGCTAAACTCTCTGGATGATTCATCATTTGGATGATTTTGCAACTTAATATTTTATTTTATTTACTAAATTGTAAGGGTGCTACAATTTTTTTTTTTTATTTCAACTAGAATGTAGAACTTCTAATTTAGGCCGCTATATCTATCTATATTTCACTATAGGTTATTAGTTTAAGGATACGAAGTTACAAACTTTTATTTTTAATATTACCCCAATCTATAACTAAAAATTAATTATTACCAGAGCTTTAATTTATGAAAATCCCACATGTATATAGTATTGTTGGACCCACATGTTCCTCATAAATTATGCAGGTTGTATGTTTAGGAATCATCCTAATCTCTGGACCAAGCTCGAGCATGGTGGGATATCTTGTTTGGCCGTTGGTTCCTTACTCCACATTAATAGCCCATAATTCTGCTTTGGGCTGCGTTAATTACACATTTCTTTCAGAGTATATATTTATCCATTTTGTATTACCACTAACAATGTGAGATGTTTAATTATTTTGAATAAACAAACTAAAGTTTATATAAATAAAATAAATTTTAATATATACTAGTTATTTCACATATAAGGAAGTGAAAGTAAAAATAAATTTCTCCTTTCCATGTTATAGTGCATTTACGTATTTCTAGATTTCTAGATATTACCTATATTACATATAGTTAGATAAATCTAAATTATATATAGTGCAAATTAATCGCACTGGATGCTCTAAGAGTAGATTAATATTAATAATGGTGATAAAAGGTGATTAGCTAACTTCGTTATCAAAAGTTATCTTCTCTGAAAGATATATCTGAAATATATATATCTGGACCTCACAAACAGAAAGATGTTTTGAGTTACTACTGTCCGCTGTGGACTTCCATTATTTCCTGTTTATTTCAAGAATTCGATTCAGAATAGCTAATATTCCTGTGCTTGACAAAAACCGAAGCTGAAAGATTATATAGTCCAGGATTATGGAAAATTTGTAGCATGTTTATGGTACAAAAGATGTTACGGAGGCTTCTGATAAAAACAAGAAGTATCCTTAAAAAAAAAAGTTAATTTTGGAAGAAATGAGTAAAGAATTACAATAAAACTATGACAGATTTTCTGAACTATGAGCTCTTCTATTTTATCTAACTCTTAGGAGGTTGGTTCTTTTTTTTTTTTAGGTTACCATCTTTCTTTCTTCCTTTATCAGTCATAACATGTTGAACAATATTTTAAAACCTTTTTTCAAAGTTATAAAAATTTAATAATTATTAATTACTAATAAGTCCAATCTGAATAATAATGAAATGTAAGTTAAAAGAAATCCGAAAATTTTCTTCTGACTTGTGATGAGCATTGATTATTTAAAAGTTTTTAGTTATTGGATGTTACAATGACAAGTTTATTAAAATTTGTTTTGTTCTATGAAGGGTCCGATGGAGATTGGGACGCAAAAGGTGCCAAGACCAAGAAGAAAAAGAAAACAAAAACTGCAAAAAAATCTACTGCCAAAAGTTCCAGCTCTAGCAGTAGTGACAGTGATAGCGATAGTGACAGCAGCAATGCAAAATCTGAACCTGCTAACAGCCAGGCTAACAATAAAGATGGAAGAGGCTCAGAGCCTGAAGAAGGTATGATGACAATTTTGTTATTTACTCATTTAAATTTTTTTATTTGTTTGTACCCTTTCAAAAATATGATATGAATTTGTGAAAGATCTGTTCCGCGTGTCACTAAACTTTCATTTACCACTCTTTTTTGAGTAGGAGTTATTGTCTGTTCAAATTTGCCTATAAAATGTTTAAAGTGATTTTTTAGTAGAGCTAAACTTCAAAGGACATATTCGTGAATTGAGGTCATATTTATCAATGCAAAACCCCAACCCATTAAGTCCATGAAAAAATACTAATCCTATAAAACTATAATATTAGATGACAAAAGTAGTCACACTCAGTGCTCATTGTTATTTCACAGGAGAAAATTTCATCAAATTACTTACTGGTTTAATTTTCTTAATTTTCTTAATTAATTTTTAATTAACTTGATGATAAATAATTATTAACAAAATATTTTAGTTTAAAAAAAATATAATAATTCGGCAATTCTTTTTCTACCTTAAGGGAATGTACTTCCATATATACTTAAACATCTTGGTAGATTGATACGGAAATTGACCTCTGCAAATATTTAAACTTGATGTAATAGTCTGGTGCCTTTCAGTTCACATTACGGCTCTAGGCAAATAGATTTCGTCTAATATGTCTGTGAATGTAAACATCCGAGACTTAAGTATTGTTCAGGATGTAGTAGGCACCCAACTACTACACCAAGTTTAATTATTAATAGTTCTAAATTTTCCTATCAATATTCCAAGTAAATATGGAATTACATTCCCTTAGAGTGGATAGAATTTCCCAAATTTTGTTGTCTTTTTGTAATTAAAATATTTTTTAATTTTATTTATTCATGATATTTACAACTGTATTAAATTAAAAACACATCTAGTAAATGTGTACACAGGAATGATACAATCACATGAAAACGCTTGTTGAGGAAACTACCCATTAGTAGCACTCTAAGAATATATTTACATAATTAGATCATAAGGCCATCTTTTCAGATCCCTTGGAGGGTTATCAGGTATCGAAGAGGAAGCAAGCTTTGAAACGAGAGGGTTCGGATGGTTTTGAAGTTTGTTATAGAAAGATAGGTATGTGGATTGGGCTAAATCGGAAACATATGGTACGTTAAGGTCGTTATGGATGATTTTATTTGTGACAAAGTAAGGAGCTTTGAGAATTTTATGGAGGATTTTGGATTGTAAGGATTGTATATGAGAGGAATTCGATGGTTTAGTGGAGCCCCAAAGCTCAATCCCGTAAGTCCAAATTGCCCTTATTATAGTCATGTAAATGAATCTTTTGTCATATATTGACAGTTTTGAGCGTTTGTCTAGTAGGTACTGGATTAGTCGAAAATGTCTCGCAGTTTCTTGTCATTTCAGTCTTGTATGAGGATTCGTGGTGAGTCGTTTGTCCAGATGGAGTCCTAGGTATCGGATTTGTTCAACAAAGATAAATGGGGAATTGTTAAAGGATACTGTAGGACAGGAAGTCATCGGTTTACTACGAAGAATAAAGGTAATTTGATGTGATTTATTGAAATTTATTTTAATTCTCCAGTTTTGACATTTTTCAAGGTTTGTTGTATGTGATTGAAGAGTTTGGGATGCAATTGATGAATCATTATTAACTGATAGGATACATGCATCAGCATATGTTGTGGTAATAGTGTTGGGATGTCAGCTGTATAAACTGTGTAAAGGATAGGACCTGGAATACTACCTTGAAAAACACCAACAGGCTGGGAGTATTTTAACATTTTTAAAATTTAAATATTAACAGTTTGTTTTCATAACATATGATCACATGATATAATTTCAAATCAATTAATTTCAAGATAATATAATAAAAAGGTTTTTCAGTATTTTGTGCTCAAATTGTTTCAAAACATTCACGGGATCTCACTGAGTAATTACAGCTATCAAAGTTAAAAATCAGCTCAACCCACAGTAATTTGTCAGAATTTTAAGCTTAAATTCTTTCCAAACACTCAAGTAATCGCACTGTATAATTTAAGATATCAAACCTGCTCGAAAAATCTTTACATACCTTTTTTAGCAAATTGATTAAACATTTTATTTTTAACTTTAAACATAAAACCTTAAATTTTTAAACACATTTTATTCAATTAAGGATAAGTGTTTTGAGCTCAAAACACTCATGGGATCTGAATGAATATTTTAAGCTATCAAACATAAAAATTTATTCATCCATTCGCTCGTAAAATTGTTACACCCCTTTTAGCAGACACCCTAACACAACACTCATGTCGTTTCCCTTTCAAAGCACTCAAGGGATCTCACCGAAAAGTTAAAAATATCAAACTTAAAAATCCATTAAGCCGTTTGCTCGAAAAATGTTACATATTTTTTAGCAAATCGATTAGGCGCATTTTATTTAATCATGTTTCAGTACTTTTAGCTCAAATTGTTTATTAGCTCTCATCAAATAATATGAATGATCAAACTTAAAAATTGATCTAGTCGTTTGCTCAAAACTGTGTTACAAAACTTTTTGCAAACTGATTAAACACATTTTATATAATAACGGATCAGTATTTTCTAGTAGCACCTTTTCCATTTTAAAACGACTAAATTACCTCTGCCTCCTATTTCCATTTGAAACACTTAAACTCCTTATTACTTCCTTAACATTTCCTCAATTCGACTATTGCTGTACGGTACAAGGGGGCGTCTCCGGAGATCTCAAGGTGGAACTAAAACATTTGATAAATTTTGTTGAACGATTCGTCTTCAGGATTCCAAGGGACTCCTCTATTTCCCGTTATTATGAAGAGCTGAAATGGCTTTATCCTTCCTACCTATGTCTGTACATTATTCTAAAGGGACTTGTCCCAGAATAAATAAAGCATTATTATTATTATTAGTTAAAATTGTTTCAAAACATTCAGGGAGTCTATCCAAATAATTTGAGCCATCAAACTTAAAAATCCATCAACCCGTTCGCTCCAAAAAGTATTACATAGCTTTTAGTGGACGATCCTAACACATCAATTTGGTTTCACTTTGCTTAGTTGTGTAAAAAATCTATTATCGGGTCTAATCTTATTACACTAAACTTGTTTAAAAAATAAATCGGAACGGATGCTTGTTCAACTCTATATCTTTATTTCTGGTTAAATGTAGTTATTTTATCTCAGGAATTGTTCAAATCTTTTTCATGGTGGAAGTTGCTAACGTGGGCGATGTACGCTAACAAAACATTTTCTAATTTGTGCTTACTGTTGGATGAACCACCAATTGGATTTAGCTATCTCAGTATAAATTTGACGATCGTAGGAACGATTTCAGATAATAAACAGTTCCCAACTTCTTATTCCATCTAAGCATACCATTTAAACTTCAAATGCAGAAAAATCTATTATATATTGTTGGAAAGAGAAATCAAAAGACCAAAATTGAATATCAGATATCAGGAACACATTCAAATTTTAAAAACAATATAACAGTAAAAGAAAAATAATAAGATATCTTGTAGCTAATTGTAATTTTTATTTTAATTTTTGGTGCTATAATTTTCCCTCTCCTGCATCAAAATACGATTTTGAATCATAACTTATTACAATGAGAATGAAATGCTGAACATTTTCCTCGCTTACAGTATGCAGATTCGATTTTTAGTTTCTGTGATTATTTTAATCCATATGTTGAATAAAACTCATTATTGTTTAGTTTTCGATGCTATTTTCCCATTTTCGCCTTACCGAATGCATTTTTCCATTTTCGATATAATTTTGAATAATAGCTCATTACAATGAGGCCCAACAAAAACACCGATTTCACCAATATCGAATGATATCTATATCATTAAATCTTAAATATATTTACTGTAGTTTAATAACTCTAGATATGATATTATATTTAAATAATTAGTTCTCTATTGGCTGTTTATTTAAAAAAATCATGAAGTAACCTTTTAGAAAATTCAATTAGTGAATAATTCAATGAATTTTTCCTTTGTGAAATCCTAACATTATCCACTTACAATTATTGTGACAACTTTTGACATATTTGACAAAGAAAATCTCGTAATTTCATTTTAGTAAACTTTACAATGGAAAATAACAGTTTAATTACTTATATTCTTACAATCCATAATCATTTATAGGTTAAATAATCAGATATACTTTCAAATCTCTCTAGGCATATGTTAGCCTTTTGGTTGACAGCATGACTAACTCCAATTTCAACATTTTTTATTATTAATTTTAGAGATATTACTAATGGCAAAATGTATTCCTTTATTCACACTTCTTTATTTCAATACTGCAATCACCTACTCTGGAATAAACTTATTCACTTTTTGTATTGATATAACTTTTCCAACTAGAAATATCACTAAAATGACATTACACAAGAATGTTGAAATCGGAGTTAGTCATTCTGTCAACTGAAAGGCTTAGAGACTAAAGTTTTATAAAAGCAGATGAAATAACTAGATGTTTATTGCCTACTGTCGATATAATAAATAGTCTTTTTGTAATTTTAATGGTCTTAATGATTTGTTATCTGTAAGCTTTAAGCTATAGCTCGATTAAAAGTGTATTTCAAAAATCTTATAATAGGCCAACATTGCCAGATAATAACTTTTATTTAGAGTAGAGTGGTAAATGAAAGGTGTGTGTTGTACGCACCAGATTTTTTAATATAGGATTATTTAAATCTTAAAAGATTTTTTATTTTTATTTTATCTTCTAGCAGAATTTCAAGTTGTATGTATATCTTAAATTCTTATTAAAAAAGTCTGACATCTTGCATTTCTCTGTTGTTTTATTTTGAATAATTTTACTCAATTCACCAAAAACTAATTTTCAACTTCTATATTTTCAAGGCGAAGTTTCTGATTCCGGCAGTGGTGGTGGTTCTTCTAGTGATGGAGATTCATCTTCTGAAGAAGAATTCAATGATGGTTACGATGAAAACCTGATGGGGGATGCTGAAGACCAAGCTAGGCTAGCTAAAATGACTGAAAAGGAAAGGGAACAGGAAATTTTTAAACGAGTAGAGCAACGAGAAATCATGAGAACCAGGTTGGCTTCATGATGTTTTTAAAAAATAAATAATAAAAAGAAAATTTTTTTATACTTTATTTATCGGCCTCCCTTTATCTCTATGGACTTCCAATAGAAGTCCAATCTATTGTATGAAGAACATTTAGAGAATGTGAGATAATGAGTAAATAAATATCTGTATGAAGTGGCTTTTATGTTTTTTTTTTTGGGGGGAGGGAGTTTAGTATAAACAACTGAGTATGATATATTGATTGAAGTTGTAAAACCTTTCACTTTAACAAAATTTCTTATTTGTATTAATAAAAATAAATTCATTTTTTCTTTTAAAATCCTGTTGAAATATGTTGATTTTCTGATATAAATAATTACTTTAATTCATTTTCCATCATGTTTACATGTGATTAGTAAAAGGAGGTATGCAATTTTTTATAAATATTATTTAAAAATATATTTGAAAAATCAACTGTTTAAGATATTTATGTTTAGTTATAATATTGATAGTTATCAATATTGTTGTGTTTGGTCATGAAGTTTCATTATTTTAAAAATTTCTAAACACGTTTTTGTTTACTCTAATTTAACAAAAAAAAGCATACAATATTTTTTCCATTATAAAAAAATGTAATCATCAAAAATATAATAAAATTAATTATTATGAAGCCTTTTTTTTTTTAATGATGAGTATGTTATTAATTTATTGGTTTTCAGGTTTGAAATAGAAAAGAAATTAAGATTGGCTAAGAAACAAGAAATGAAGAAAAAGAAAAAGCAGGGTGGTAGCGGAACTACTAGTGCTGCTGGTATTGTTGCAGGTGCTAATTCTAGTGCTGTTTCTGGTAAGAAACCAGAAAAAGAAAAAATGGATGTGAAAGATCGATCTAAAGAAAGGAAGAAAGCAGTGGAAGAAAATAGGGGCAAAACAGACAAAAAGGCACAAGCAATGAATCTTCTGAAAGCAAGGAGGGAAGAGAGGAAAGAAAGAGGTATTTTCTGTTTTTTTTTTTGTTTTTTTTTGTAATTTTTCAACAACTTTTCATTTGTGCTTATTCTTGTGTATTTGTTATTTTGACAAAGAATTTTGAAATGAAAACCTTCACCAAGTTATTCAAGAAGTTCCCTAAGACCATAAACAAATTCTAATTATAAAAGGATATATATCCTCTTTGAAAACAACCTGTTTCATAAAAGGAGGTTATTAACCTTTTTATATAAATTCTAGTTAATAGATGAGGTATATTCATTGTAAATAAATTATATTTCACTAAGAAATTAAAGTACGCCATGATTAACATTATGCACATTTTCTTATGATAGTTTTAATTTTTTTTGGCAGCTAAAAATATTGTTATTTTATTCATCACCTTCATATGTTATTTTCTGTTTAGTTACTGTTTATTATTTAAAACTTATTATAAACCATATTATTTTTGTTATGATCTTATTAAAAATTTTCCAGGTTTTATAGAAATTATATTTATAATTTCATTTTGAGTCCATGACTGCTGTTTGTCTTTTTTTTCTTTTTTTCCTCCCCTTCCTTGTTTTTAGGCTATACAAGGTTTTCCTGGGCCAGATGTTGAGGGCGGGGGATTAATGCTAGAGTCAAAAGCACCCCTGGCACCGGCGTCTGAACTCATAGTTATTTTGTCATCTTTAACTTCAGTTATCAGGTTGCCGGATGAGGTGCGGTGTTGTGCACACATGTTAGCCCATTCAGCCACCCCACCCTGTGTTTACTAGCCTCATGTATGCTGGATTCTAGCCTTACAGATGTTGTCATATTATTATAGCAAATCAACTGAATGAATTTCAACTTCCCTATCTTACTAGAAGAGGTTGTATGGCAGCCTGCTCGCCTAACTTCAACTCTTTGAATGCATTATACACAAGAAGATGTTTTCCCATTAAGAACATTTATATTTGTAATTGTCTCATCAATTGTTAATGAGCCCATTGTCTTTTGTTTCTTAATCCCAAATGAACCTGTGATAGTTATTGATTAATTCACTGCAGTTTTGTTATAAACAAAGTTCCTTCTATTATATATTCTATATTGTGATTATTTATAGATAGTGGTACTTGGTACTGGTGAGGGTAATTAGTCCGGAAAGTGTGCCTTGTGGTCCTTTTTGTCAATCTCTGACAGCTACCTTGAAGTTGCCATCACGTAATTTTCAGAGTAGAAATGTCAAGATTCATTTCCTATAGGCACCGAGAAATAAACTTTAACCAACCCAGGTGGGAATGAAACCCCACTACGTTTAGAAACAGGCACTCTGGGATACATACGTCAACATGCTCGGTTATCACGTCCTCTTATACATAAATAAACCATTAATCAATATAAATATGGAATTGGGTAGCTCATTCTGCGATACCTCCTATTAGTAACAAATTTTACCTTAAAATTTTATTCTCTATGTCTGTAGTCTACATTGGCTTATGAAATGCCCTTATATTTGTTTTTACATGAATCTCAGTTTCATTTTAATATAAACTGTTATAATCATGTAATACAAATCATATATGTAAACCATCATTCCATCAGTTTATTAACCTTAGTCAGTTTAAATTTAATCAGTAAATTGTGTATGTCTCAATATTGTGTCTTTTTGTTTTTGGTTATAGTATATTTGTTTTTTTTTTTTATTTCCTCTTTATTACTTCATGCTGATGTTGACAGGCCATCATTTCATTGTAATGTATGAGGCTGTGAATGAATGTGTCAATGAATGGCTTTCATCTCTCTATTTGTAAGTTTATAAATATTGTGAAATGTTTATAATTAACATTTTTAAATAGGTTCTTTTGTTTGTCAAACCCAACAAACATTTTACTATTTCTGCATTTTTTTTTTTTTTTTGGAAATTAAATTATTTGGAGTAATTCCTTCCGTGTGTCTTTAACCTATGAATGCTGCCTTGTCTGCCAGCTCATTCCCTGATACATCAGCGTGCTTCATTTACGTCCGACGGTTTGTTTTGTTTGCTGTGTTTGTGTTGCAAGTTTTGTGTAATGTTCTCTATTATTGTTTCAGGTTTGTGTATAGTTAAGTAAATGCATTTTAATTCTCAATCTAAATATGTATTCCTGTCTGGAATCATATTTAAGTGTTTTAGCATCTTAATTTGTGTGTTCCAAAGATAATTTGTAGGTTAGGTTTAATTTTTGGGATGATGGTGTAAAGGAAATTTAGTTGTTATTCATTTTAGATTTATTCATACTATAAGCAAATCTTTATTTTAATCTATAAATGTACTAGATTCAAGTTTTATGATTTAAGTCAGTTAAATAAATTTGTCGTAATTTTTTTTTTTTTGCTTCCTTACTACCGAAGGTAGGGAAGCTTTGTATTCATGTGGGGGGTTAAAAAAAATTATGAGTTCAAAATTGAAAAATTCCACTCACGTTTTATGTTTCAGACATTAAGGATCAAATTTGGTTTGGCATCTGTAGTCAAATCGATGCAATGGTCCTATTACCTACTACCGTTTATCCAATTTTCAGGGATTATGTGGATTGGTGTCTATATGGTCCCATATCAATTTCATCAAATTCGATCCAACTCCACTTACTCACGTGCAAATGTTTTTCCCTAGCTTTTGCTAATATTTCAAAATTTAGAAGAAAGATAGGTGTCGGTAAACAAATAATGCTGTATCAATTTCATTGCATTCTGTCAATTGTTTTAAATATACCCAAACATATTTTTCGTGATACCTCAATATCTTAAAAACTACACATTCGATTTGACTCAAAGCTGGAGGGAAGTTAGGGATTGATAAAAAAATGATAAATTAGATATCCATTTCAGAAAATTCTATCTCCTACATTCAGAAAATATTTCTGCTTTCGAATTTGACAATGTATTGTTTTTAACATGCCTATATTTCGAAAACGGCTCTTTCGATTAGACCTAAATTTGAAGGAAATGTGAAGAATAGTGTAGAAATTCCCTAGTATCAATTTCATTGAATTCTATTCTACAATTAAAATTAATATAAGTAACTTTTAAAAATATAATGGCTGAGAAATCTGGAAGGCATTGATCAAGAGAAAGTGAGGTTATGTTCATATTATTGTTTTATGAGATTATAAAATTTTAGAATATTCAAAAAAGTTAATTTAAACTGGATGTTTTGTTGTTTACATATTGACACCTACAAAAAATTTCATGTAATTTTCAGTGATTATGGGATTTGAAACTTAGATGGCCCAATATAGATTTTGCCAAATCCCTTCACCTGCTTTCGCTTAGTTATCCAATTTTCCTTTACTATATAAACCATATATTTGTAAATTTAAATTAAATTTGAACAGACTAATGTCATATTTGTGAGTTTGTTTGTTCCTTTTGAAGTTCAACCTTTCATCGGTTGTAATCTCGATTTCCCTCTCAAACTTCAAAGGCTTTATTCCAAGTCTTTTCGAGCTAGTTATAATTGAAGGGTGGAATGTAAGCATCGATAAGTTTTAAATATGTATAGGCCTTCATTTCCTGTATTTTGTTAACTTCTATCTAATTCATATTCTTATATTTCTACTTGAATTACTTTTGTTCTAACTGATGAAAATGTCGGTGAATTTGGTAAGGATGCTATACTGACCTTACATGGCATATCTTTTTTTTATTAGTATCACATGTTTTCTTTTTCTCTGTTAAAAAGTTTAGTTCATAGTTTAGGCTGCTTTATAATGATTTATTAATCAAGAAACTTGGCCTAACTATTTTGTAATTTCATTCACATACACTAAAATTCTATTTATTATTTTTTGAGGTCTAATATAAATTTTTAAAAAAATTGGCAAAATATCTGTTTTGTTAGGATTCAAAATATAACTTCCCATTATAAATGATCCTTAGGTTCGATAAATAAGAAGACTACTCTGTTGGAAATAAACACTTTTATTCTAGCACAATACTTAGATAAGATTTTTAGACTAGGTTTCTAACAATTGACATACACCTGAATTTTTTAAAAACATTATAGAACAATTTAAATATTTGTAGAAACATCAGTTTAGTTTAACTAAGTTCATGACAATGTCATTATTATAATGGTATATTCTTATTCAAAATGGAGCTATAATTTTCTTTAACCTTAAAAACCAACATTTTTTTCTTTAAAATCGAAAATAAAACCATCGGTATTAAAATTCTATCTACATATATTTATATGTACATGAGCCCTAGATTTTGCAGGTTCTATGAAAAAAAAAAAATGAAATAAGATGCATGCTTATAACTTACATTATAAGCATACCTGTTATGTCCACTCAATTGAGAGTTGAAAAGACAGGTATTTGGCATTATGAAGAAAGAACACAATGTCCTAAAACTTTATGCCTTGCTATAGGAATAAAGTAACGTTTCTCAGTCTGGGTGTATATTTGTTAAATAACTGTATATCTGTGATTAAAGAATAAGCTTTTCAAGTCTCATAGGATTTGAATAAAAAGTATTTGAATGTGTCAACTGATAAATTTTAAACATGTCCTATTATTTTTCATGATCATGACCATACTGCAATCCCTCTCTACCGCTGCACAGTGTGCCCTCTATAGAGAGAACTTGGACCAAGTTTTCCTTTCCTGTACCAGTTCTCTCCTCCTGCTCCAATCAGGTCCTCACTTCTTGAAAGCCTTCCGCACGCCTTCCTCCCAGGTGATCTGTGGTCCTCCTCTTGGTCTTCTTCTCTCCACTCATGTTTTTTATGTTATCCTGGCTGTTCTCTCCATACTCCTAGATGCCCAAACCATCTTAATTTATTTTTCTCAAGAGTAGTTTCTACCCCCTCTACCTCGAGGTTTGATATGTTTCGGATCTGATCTCTCTTGGTCTCCCCTTGAACATTTCTCAGCTAGCTCATCTCCATTGTCTGGACTGCCCCTTGTGTTTAGAGGTAAGGGTCCATGATTCCGAGGAGTAAGAAAGGATGGGGAAGAATTTTCATTAGTAGACAGATAACTTGGTTTTATTTAT